GAGGGTCTGTGTGCGGGTGAGGGTCTGGAGGAGAGTCTGTGTGCGGGTGAGGGTCTGGGTGTGTGAGAGAGGCTGGGTGTGGGTGAGAGGCTGGTTGAGGTTCTGGGTGTGGGTGAGGATCTGGGGGAGGGTCTGGGTGTGGGGGCGGGTCTTAGGTGGGTCTGGATGGAGGTCAGCACTGTAGGTTTTGGGAAGGGGCAGTGATATTGTTCTTCATTGCTCTGCATTGACTATCTCCAAGAACCTCCTGTAATGGTTGTACTGAAGGTGCAGCTGCATTAACACTTGCATCTTTCATTTTGTCCCATTGATCAGGAATGTGCAGGTGAGCCTTTGTTCATGCTGTTCTGTGCCATCAAGCAGCAGATGGAGAAGGGGCCGATTGACTCAATTACTGGAGAAGCCCGGTACTCCCTCAGCGAGGACAAGCTCATCAGGCAGCAGATAGATTACAAGACACTGGTAAGTTCAGAACCTGGGCATGAAATGAGAAACAAAGGTGGGGGAGGTTGGTGGGTGGGGGGGTGGGAGAGAGTGTGAATGGGTCAGGGGATAATTGGGTTAACTTGTGCAGCTCACAGGAACAGTGTATTCCTGTTGAGATGGGGTGTCTGCAAATATGGCCTGGTGTTAATTACCTCCAGCCATATTGCTGAGCAGCAGTAAAGCTCTTCCACTGTGGAGCTGTCACTGTGCCAGGTAGAGGTGTGCAATTGGCCCAAGAAGCTTGTGCTGGCAGTCAGAATAGCTTTCCCCCTCCAGCAGAATCGCTGCGGGTGGCAGCAATGTGTGCGCTCGCTTCATTTTATTTTACATCCCTCCTGGCCTTGAGGGGTGGGATTAAGGAGTGTTGAGGGCATAGTTCCAACAGAGTTTGGCTGACCATAGTCTTTGCAATCAACCATTGCATGAGCTGCTACTGTCAACGTTGGCGACAGTTCCACCACGGAGACGTTCAGACTGTGATCGGTACCGTTCTCACCTCAAACCGGATGTGCACTGTCCAACAAGAAGGTTCAAAATGAGGAACTAGAATAGGCCATTTTGGCTTCTCCAGCTTGCTGTGCCATTCATTAATTTCATGGCTGATCAGATTGTAACCTCAAATCCACATTAAAATCTACCATCAGTAATCTTTCACCCCCTTGCTTAAATCTATCTGCCTCTACCTCATAAACAATTTAAAGACTCTGCTTACACCACTTTTTGAGGAAATGAGCTCCAAAACTCATGACTTTCTGAGAGAGAAAAGAAATTTTCCTTATCTCTGTCTTAAATGGGTGACCTATATTTGTAAAGAGTGACCCTTAGTTTATAGATTCTTCCACTGGAGGAAACCTCCTCACCACACCCACCTTGTCAAGACCCCTCAGGATGTTGTATGTTTCAATCAAGCTATTACTCTTCCAAACTGCAGTGGATACAAGCCTAGCCTGTCGACTCTTTCTTCTTAAGCCAACCTGCCTCTTCAAGGTTTTGATGAGTAAATAATATGAAACTTTTCTGTGGGAGGAGAGTCAATCGCCAGTGAAGAGGATGTGAGGTGAGAGGTGAAAAAGCCCACGGAGAGACTGTGCCATAAAGCTTTACACACTGAATCGTTACTATCTGGACTTTGTGGCCTAAAGGAGTGGCAGAAGAAAATTCGATAATAACTTTCAGTGGGGATTCGAATAAACTCTTGAACACCAAAGTTTTTACGAGCCTAAAGGGAAGAGGAGGAGGAATGGGACCAATTCAATAACTCTTCCAAAGAGCCAGCAGAGGCAGAATGGGTAAATAGGCTCCTTTTGTGTTGTATCATGATGTGACATCAAGTAAGAGGCTTAAACCTCTCCTCCATCTAATTGTGGGCTACAGCGTGAATGTAGCCTCAACCTGAGATCAGTGCCCAATTAATGGGCCAACACTTCAACCTTCCTGAATTATCTGAGTCTACTTGTTAAATCGTTAAGGGTGCCTTGAATGCTTTGGTTCTTGCCAATTGAGCATGTTTTTGAAATAAATTGGATCCCCTGCACTCTGCAAGGCGAGATGGAGCAAAGCTCTAAAATCGTTGCAAATGCTGGAACAAAATACAGAAGAACACTGGAAACACCGGGATCCAGTAAAGGTCAGTGTACAAAACCTTTCCTTTCATCAGAGCTTGATTAAGGGTCAGAATTAGGAACAGTAACCTGTCTTTTCCAACCATTTCTGATACTTCTTCCCAACTCAAGATGCTTGCTTTCCTGCCAGAATCTACTGACGTAGAGGGAGAGTCAAGTCACTTTTGATTAGACCCCGTTTCTCCCCACGACGGCCTAGCTCCATACAATTAGGCGACTTTGTAGCCTCCGTTGGATTAAAGTGAATGAGTGAGGCAGAAAGGAGAAACAAAATCAAGTTCTTTTGAAGTGGCTAATTGTGTGTGGAAACAGAGAGTTGAATAATGGGAAATCAGTATGTTAATAATGGTAATGTAAGTGATGATGCTACTCTTACAGAGCAAAGAGAAACATGATTGAAAAGGACCAGAAGAGAAACACTGGACCAGCATAGTGTACATCTTCATGTACATGCAGAGTTACTGTATTACTGAAAAGTGAAAGAGAATTACTATAAAGGGCAGCTGGGGATGGGCAATAAATTCTGGCCAGCCAGCAATGCCCATGTCCCATGAGTGTAATTTTAAAAAAAGTCAGAGCAAGTCAGCTGCAAGGGGCCCAGAACAGTAACAGTGAAACAAGTCCATTAACCCTCTAAGTGTGCAGTACAGATACACAATGCACAAGGGACTAAGCCAGTATAGAATTCATGAAGGAACATAGTTGTAGCAGCCCAAGACCTGGTAACAGCTGAGCTGTCACAAAGCACAATGAGCAAATGGTACAAAGGTGTCATGGCTGGGCTATCTGTAGAACATATGGAAGCCCAACTTACCAAATGCTTCCAAATTTAGAATAAGTAATCTACTGCGACATGGGGGTAATATTGCTGTGAGTGATAAATTCTCTGTACTGGCTGTGTAATATTACCATACAGGGACCCTCACAGTAATGAGTGTGTAATATTGCCATACAGGGACCCTCACAGTAATGAGTGTGTAATATTGGTCAAAGGCCTAGTGGTGTGATCATTAGGCTATTAATCTGGAAACTCGAGTAATATTCTAGGGACCACGGCAAATAGTGGCATTTGAATTTGTCAAAAAATTCTGGGATTAATACTCTAAGGATGATCATGTAACCATTGTCAATTGTCAGAAAAGCCCATTCGATTCAATAGTGCCCTATAGGAAGGAAAGTGTCGTCCTTACCTGGTCTGACCTACAACATTGCAGTTGACTCTTAACTGCCGTCTGGGCAGTTAGTGATGGGCAATAAATGCTGGTCTAGCATATCCTGTGAATGAGTAAAAATAAAAGACGTGGTGCACAATAAAACATAAATTACAATAGATCAATTGAATGAGGCTGTCCATCTGTGACAATGCTTTAGCTTCCCATTTTATACTCAGTCAACAAACAGGACAGTTCTCAAAATTGAGGTCTAACATCTGCAACATTGACTACCAGATACTAAAGTGGGCAAATTGCCAGTATAATCTACCAATGGGCCAGAGGACGCTTTCTGCCTTTGTTCTTTACTCAAGTGGACTTGAGAAAAATTGTTAAATGTGCTGAAGTCAGATAACTACAAACACCAGGAATCAAAGCTCGGTCACCCCAAAGCTCAGTCAACACCGTCAGATCGAGGCAAAGCACTCCGTGATAACTATTCCCAAGAGCTGAAAGGGAATAATGGCCCATGTCCTGGTCAATATTTATCCCAAACAATATCATGAAAACGGAAACAAAAACAGGAATTGCTGGGAAAACTCAGCAGGTCTGGCAGCATCTGTGGAGTGAAAGCAGAGTTAATGTTGAGGCTCCAGTAACCCTTCTTCAGAACTATTTTTAGCAAGGAAAGGGTTAGTATTTATGCTTAAGATGGGGAGGGGTTAGGACTAAACAATAGGTGGAGATGAAGCTTAGAGAGCGAGAACAGACAAATGAATGGGTAAAGATCAGTCTGGGAGAATAAATAGTTGCTAATGGGGACTGTTAGTTGTTGACAATGGGTTGGTTGAGGTAGCAATCCATATGATGTCAAGGCTTGGTTTGTGAAGGTTGGGGTAAGGACATCAGTGAAAACAGATTATCTAGTCATTATGTCAGTGCTATGCCCAAACTTGCTGCTGTGTTTCTGACATTACAGCAGTGACTAGACCTCAAGCATATTTCATTTACTATAAAACATTTTGGGATGTGCTGAGATCAAGAAGATCGTATATAGAACGAAAAAAATTGCACATTTTTTGACTACATTTTGTCGTTCATGCAATCACCAACTGACCAACCAGTTGTATGATAGTGTTGCATGGTGGATCGCTGATGCTATAAATGTTTCAACAGGGACTTCACTGGATAAGAGACCTGCAAATAACCTGGTAATTTATTTGTAGCCTGTATAAATAATTAAGGAAAGAAACATGACAGTTTAAAGGATATAGTAATCCATTGAATGTTCACCCTCTTGGGCTGATTACATTTCAAATTGAACGGGAAATTGGAGTGCTAGTGAATGAAATAAAGTGCAGCGACAAATTCTCACACCACTGAGAGCCATCAATGGGGCTTGGCTGGCCTTAAGAGACCACTTGCAGGACAGTTTTGGAAGTAGGATTGGTAACGTTGGATATATTCTGAAGGTTGATCACCTTCCTTCAGGTATGCCCCTCCCCTTAGTATCAACATTGGTCGCCCAACATATCCAACTCAGAGCATTTTATCTTTTTGGTTAATAAGAAGACAATAAAACTCTTTATCATCTGATTAGATGATTCTTGATTCAAACACGTGATTATTCAATATTTTTGCAGCATTGTGGCAACAATATTCAAAGAAAATGAAAAGCATGAAGATGTTGCCTTTTTTAAAAATCAACACCATCCTTTGATTGGTTTCCCTGATTTGGTTTGTAGCACTGACCGAGGAATTAATTTTATTCCTGGAGAATCCAAGACTCCTGAAGAGTTGGTCACCCAGATTTCCAAAACTGGGACGAGAGATGGGAAACCCAAAACCAGCAAAGAGCGAGAGTCAGGGAAGAAATGTAAGCGGAAGCGATGGACTTCCATTCATGGCTCAACCAATAAAGCAGGATCTACCTGAGTTTGATCCTTCGATCTTTATTGAGCTAATACATTCCAACAGTTGTTTTCAATGCTTTAGAGCAATGAAGGGACAATATCAGGCCAATGTTCCCAGGTCCTGGTCTCCGGGTCTCCCTGGAAAATCTTTGTGAGTAGCTATTGGCTGAAGATGGGATAGAGCTTGGCTGAGATGTTCTCTCCTTGCCCACTGATTCTTGACTGTATTGGCCCAAATGGACCAAGTTGTTTGACTGCTGATTCATGCGAACTCCACAATGAAATAGTTT